CGCAGTTCCCCGTCCTGAATGAAATCCCCAAACCGGACGAAACCCCAGATCCAGTCAAGCTGCCAAGAGGGATCAGTTACGTTGAGGTCAAGTATCCCCTCAGTTGCGCACTAATTTGGTGACTGGCACGGTCGGCTCGTGGGTGTTTTTTTGCAGCACCGACTACGTTGTAATGGCTGACGAGGGGGGTTAACCCGTGGGAGCGCCGGGGACGACGCTCAAAAGAGGAGGGAGGCTATGTAATACGATAGTGGTTTATCCCTCGGTTTTAGTGAGGCGCCACTTTTGTACTTCGAATTAGCCCCCTTGTACCTCGCTGGGTGGGCTGGCCTTTTGGGCCATGCCAATACCCAGACACCTTCTCCGTGCTGAATATATATATTCTGCCCGAGTATTGTGTCTTCTTTCGTCTTCAGGGAGTCCCGGGATGCTACAGTATCAGCTGCAATATCCTAATGGCAGTGTTATAAAGCAGAAAAAACAGGCAAGAGGTCTTGTAGGATCAGCTGTTATCCCGTGACTTTCAACCAATCGTATGCTTCGCATTTTATGACTTGCATTAATTGTTTTGTAGCTCTTAAAATGTCCTTCTGACTAGCGATAAATTGCATTATTTTTCTTGAGTTTCCAACATCTTTTCTACTAACGGCTCTCTGCTAGCTGCAAATATTTAATCCATTTAGGGGCAAAATTGAGAGAAAATAAGAAATGCACCTTTCCTATTTGATAATTTCTTGACTATTAATACTTGTTGGGTCCTCTTTAAACTTGTTAGATGGATGTCGCACTAAACGGGGCATTATCCACTACCAAGGCTGTTTTTTTCTACAGGCATTATTTGCTGCTAATATATCAATAAAGCAACTTATGCGTGGATCACTAAGCTTGTTTTAATAGTCGTTTTTCCTCGACCTAGCCTTAGTGTCAACATTGATAATAGCACCATAATGGGTTAGGATGCCTCCTCGGGTGTCGGTTGCCATTTACAATGATTTGGGAACGACTCCTCATTGCGTTAAGCAACTTCGAAATTGCATTCAGCAAAATATTCCCGGAGCCAGAATATCTACACTCAGTGCCACAGAATCTATTGAGAAGCTGGCCTGTAAATCAATCGACCTCTTTTGTGTTGGAGGTGGATTTGCACGCGGTGTTATCAACAAGCTGGGTTCCATAGGCCTCGGGAATCTTAGGTCATTTGTTTTATCTGGTGGTTCGTATCTTGGTATATGTTCCGGTGCATATCTTGCATCGTCAATAACAAAATTTGACACTGGCGGTCCACTAGAAGTAAACGATACAGGAATCCTCAACTTTTTTCCCGGTAGGTGTTAAGGTGGCCTTTATTGAGAATTGTACTAGTGGCAAGATTTTTAGCTATTTGGAAACCTTACAAATGACCTGGCTAATTTGAATGTGACTTATTGTGCAAGTTGTCACTACCTGTATATATTGCGTAAACGTTGAGATGAGACCTGGTTTTCACTTTTCTTTGATGCATTTTTTTTCGTGGGTGTCTCGTTGCCCTATTCTAGGTACCGCTGAAGGACCATTGTTCGGACGTTTTGCTTACAACTCGGAGTCTGGTGTCTCTGCTCCAATTTTGGATGCTTGCGCTACCCTTAATTCTGACATCCCAACGTCGTTGGCAGTATACTTCAATGGGGGTTGCCACTTCCTTAACTTCGTCGATAACCATACTAGTATTCTCTACTTATAGTAAGTTGTAGTTGCTTTCTTCGGAGATCTGCACTGAGCGTACCGTTAACATTTTGTTTAATGGGCCGACTTTCCCACGACCCTATCTCAGAGATAGTAAATGAAATTCATGGCATGTGAATCCTTCATTAGGCTAGATGCAGTTAAAAAGGGTTTCTATTTAAGCCCTCTTCTTTAAACCCAATCAATTTAGTTTATTTATGTCGGTAAAATAGTGCGTTCACGCCCGTAAATTTTATTAAAAATATTTTTACTCAATTCCGCTTTTATGGGCTTTTTGTTAAGGTCTTCTTCATTTTTTACTCCTAAAGCCGTGAATTAGGAACTCCGGCTATTTTGAGGCGAAGATGTGGACAAGGTACAGTGCTACTAAGTGGAGCCCACTTTGAATTCGATCCCGCAAATTTAGGTGAATTGGATGCCGATCCTCACATTCAACGAATCCTACCCCCTTTACTTGAACACGATGCTAGCCGTGTGAAATTATGCAGGACAGTTTTACTCGACCTTGTCAAACCGATCATTGGTGCTGTGCACCAAACGAGTTACTAGCAAATAAGCATTTAAGCTGTTTATTTCTGTCTAATAAATACTATAGTTACTAAAATATTGCTTTTTGGTCGGTGAATTCGTCTACATGACACTTTTGTTTTGCTTCTGTGACTTCCATTTCATTGAAATTTGTCATGCAAGAACCAGTAGTTAAATGATTTGTCTAAAATGGAATCTGTTGTCAATGTTTCACATATTTTTGGTGTTTGGTCTATCGATCATATTATAGAATGCAAAAACAATGTAAGTACAGAATACGCAATGAAGACAAGCTAAATGGTTTTGATGCTTTGATGAGGTTTGTGAGCCATTAAATGAATGATTTACGAAGATGATTATAAAGGTGTACATCAATGAAAGACCTGCACTGTTAATTATGAAGCGCTTTAGGTTGATTTGAGTTTCTGGGTGTTTTTGAACTTTTATTCAGAAGTCGTAGCTGATGTAGTTTAAACGAAAATTGACTCTTCTTCATACCGACTTAGATGCTACTAGCTTTCATTGGAGACGAGCCGCTTCTTGAGCTTAGCACTATGAAAACCCTATCATCTAATTTGCACAGTGGTATGATGGTTTGGTAGCTCGTTTTACTACACGATCTCATGAGTCCACGAAAGTTGACCTCTGGCTCAAAAGTACAGCTCTCGGTCATTCCAATGTCCACCCGACCATTCTATACGTAGCCAGTAAGTCTTCGTTCTGGTTTGGCTTATTACAACTTCAGAAAGGATTCGGCTGCTGCATTTAATACAGCGGTATGCTATTCGCTCTTCTATTGCCGAATTTCAAACAGTAACAGCCTAGAATGAGTAGGGGTGAGTGCCATCGCTTGCAGTTCCGAAAAGGGACAGGGACGGTTACTTTTGGTAACCACCTTGATCTAAGGTTTTTCAAAGAGCTATTAACAACTGATAGGACGACAGACTAAAGCCTTGGCAAACCCATTATTGACCATTTTAGGGTACTTATACGGCTATTAAGGGAAGCCTTATCCGCGTTTCTACCAGCTGAATTATGCCCAAAGACTAGCCAGAATTAAAATAGGGCCAAAATTCCAAGAAAGAACAGACAGAGATGTCCCTTGTTAAGAGATTGTATTTATGGAATTGTTCGAGTACAGGCACAGTAAAATTCTTTCCCTCCACCATGGTTTAAAATTGGAACTAATCTTGAGGTCTGCCGGAAGTGCCGGGGTTCAGCACCAATGCTGGAGTCACGCATCTTCTGAACTGGGTCAAGGTTTGGTAAACCGTTCCTCACCCGCGAGGGAGTTTCAAGGCACTAATTAGGTTGCAATGGCCAAGCATAAAGGCGAACAAGGGTAGCGCTGTACGTGGCACCAAGCAGAAGGAGAATGAGCAATGATTTGGCACTTTGTTTAATGGAATGTCTAAATAGACCTGCTCCTTAGTGTTCACGAAATGCACCATTGACCAGAGCTATGGTGCTCCAGCTATTCCAACAGTTCCTCATCCCTTCTATGCACAAATTGCAAACTCCTCTAAGCTCTGTTATAACTTCATGCAACGGGAGGATGACTCAATGTGCTTCAATGGAATTTAATGCGTTGTTAAAATGACAGAGTAAAAAACGTTTAGCTAATGTTTTGGATGACACATTAGGCAATACTTAGGACTCAATTATGACTTTCTACATATGGAGAAAATTTTCACATCTTTAGTAGGAAACAATAACAGGCCCGCAAAAACGTGGCATAGGAATAAATAACTTTAATCTGCCCATATTTTTCAAAATTTAAGTGGCTCTGACGCCTTTTTTTGTTAGTTATTTAGTAATACAATAGACCATCTGTTATTCGAAAGAGCTGAAAAAATATTATTTGACGGATCACTTTTGTTTGCTAATTTTTTAAGCATCTTGCGCAACGAGAAAAATTTGTTTTATGCATTTTTTAAATTTATGGGGCGAAAAATCTAAGCCCCTGCATAAAATAATTTAAATGCTCTGACGTGCGGAATTTTTAATTGGGTCAATATCTTAACTCGCCTACGTATGGTTTTTAGCCCGTCTGTTCATCATGAGCAACATATACATCACCGAACCAGCGACGAACGGAAAGGTCATCCTCACCACTACAGTTGGTGATATTGAAGTCGAACTGTGGTCCAAGGAGACACCACTGGCATGCAGAAATTTCGTGCAGTTGTGCATGGAAGGCTACTACGATGACACAACCTTCCATAGGCTAGTAAAGGGCTTTATAGTTCAAGGTGGTGATCCCACTGGCACGGGAGATGGTGGTGAAAGCGTCTACGATGGTCCTTTTAAAGTATTCCTATAAATTAACTTTCCTATTGTTTCACCAGACAGAAAGTCACTCCCGTTTGTCTTTCAATCGTCGGGGTCTTATGGGAATGGCTTGCCCCGAACCAAACTGCAATGGAAGCCAGTTTTTCTTCACTCTCGGAGAAGCTCTTGAATTAAATGGAAAACACACTCTTTTTGGCCGTGTGGTTGGGAATACTCTCTTTAATATGCTGCGACTATCAGAAGTGGACGTCGTAAACGGCGACCAGCCTATTCGATTGCATCGAATTTTAAAAACTACAGTGAGGTGTGAATTAGTAACTATCTCAGGTTATCTTAAACCCCTACGATGACATCGTTCCCCGCCAAATTAAGCCCAAGAAAAAAACAGAAAGTAATGGGAAGGTTCAACCAACTGCGAAGGCTACCAAGTACTACCCATTTTTTCCTATTTTACTGCTTTCAGGAATTTCTGCCTTTTGTCATTTGGTAGCGAGGCAGAGGAAGAAGAGGAGATCTCTTCCAAAGTTGAAGAGGTTGGCCTCGATTTGCATTTACTCACTTCCTGAACTCAGAAATTCCGCTCTCGTGGAAAGAGTGCTCATGACCTCGTGAGCGATGAAAGTCTCTCCAAGGAGACTGTAAAAATTACTGAGGAGGACGCTGAAATCACCGCTAAGGCCTCTGCTATTTTGGAAGCTGAAGCGGAGGCTCGCAGGCGGCGGCGCGAGTTGGCTTCTCGTTTTGAAACCGAGGAGGAATTGAGACAAAAGCAGAAAAGAATGTACGTATTGCCTAATTTTTATTTGAAGTTATATTTGGAGAGATTTACACATCTCGTGTGTTTCTTAGTATCTATTTCAGCATCAGTCTACCATCATCATTGATGATGATAGCTTTATCCTGTACAATTGTATTTCCGGGAGTTTCACACTGTTATTGAAATCTTGGATAATATGTCTATGTTTCAAATTCATTCGTTTGTTTTTTTTCTGTTAAGCTTTATAACTAGACTCTCAAATCGGATGCTTCTGCATTTATCTCCGCCTCGACTATTTAGTATGCGTAGTTAGTGAGCTTGCTCGGTCTTTAGCTTTGAGTACTTTTTAACTGGTCCGTCTTCATAAAAATTCTTCCCGTTGGAGCCGTTCCGTTTTATCCCGGGGCAGAATAAACAATTGTTTTTAGTTATTTACGTGAGTCTTAGTCGGTACTGGAGACACTGTTATTTTTTTTAAAATTCCAAGCGACTTTGAGTACTTACTGCTCTCTACTAGGAGGCTTTGTTAATTTTTAAAAAAATTGACAATGCTTTCTACTTGAAATATTTTGATCGCATAAATTTTAGAAAAATGTGCCTTGTCCAGCAACACAATAGCTGGATTTACAACTGGTTTGGTCGAATTTTCGGTGATTACTAATTGCTTAAGTACTATCACCCAAGAGCTTCAACATTTTTAAGTACCCCCTCTTTGTGGCTTTCTTTAAGGTAGCACTGAGACGGGTTCGTTCTTAGGAAGAGATTTTTAGTTCGGGACACCGTAATTGCGTTGACTCCACCACCCATTCCCACTCATTGTTTATTCCATTTTCAGTATAGTTCTTTTTTGCTAATTCCTCAGCCGAATGCTTTCAGCACAATAATTTATCAAGTTTCCAGCATTTTATAATTAGAACTATTGCTTTGAGCCCTGTCATGAATGAATGCAAGTGCATTGCTTCCGTCTCTTCTTCTCCCTCTCCCCATGTAACGGCATCGGTCGAACAAGGGAGCCATTTAAGTCAAATTGGGGAACTTTACGAAATTACTAGTGCTTGAACAGGGTGATGACTGAAGACAAGGTAAAGGAAATGTTCCTTAAACTCTGGGCGATTGAAGGTGAGAAGAACCGATCTCCGGACGGAATTGGTTGGTTTATGGTTCTCTTGTCATGCTTCCTAAGTACTGAGTCGGAAGTTGACTCTGCTTACTGCCTAGGTGATCTTCTATTCGGTTTTATTCCCATAGGGAGGAGCTACGTGCAGAAGCAGACGCGGTACGTCGTGACATCGCGCGCACCATGCGATCGGCGAAAGAGCGCGCTGCGGCCGCGGAGGCCACCCGACAGGCAGCGGAGACGCGAGCGCAGCGCGAGGAGGAGGAGTTGCGGCGCGCTGAAGCCTGGGAAGCCGAGCAGCGCGAAAAGGCCGCTGCAGGCCTCATTAAAGCTACGGCACAACCAATGGTCGAAAACTTTGATGATGAGGTCGCCAGCTATCGGTTGAGGGCAAAGAAGAATAAAGAGGTTGGTTTTTCTTATGATGATTTTCTTTATACCGCGCTCTTAGGGGAATCGATGCTAGGTCCCTAACACTTCCTCTACAATCAATACATTTTGATGTCTCTGTTTTTTACCTGGGCCTGGTGTCACGCATATATGATGTGCGTTCTCTATCAGTTCGTGGTAACTGGCCATGCCAAATTGTGTTGCAAAACAATTGTTCAAAAATGGGGAATGTTCTTGGTCTGAGGTATCTTCACTTTGTTACTTTTCGGATTGGAGTTGAAGTGGTCATGAATGCAGGAAGGCTGTTGTTATTGGAATATCTGAGACTAACAACGTGGGAGGCATGAAAAACACCATCAAGCATCTTCATTACTACTTCAGATATCCTTTTTGTATTTGTTTGAATTGTGTACCACCGATTTGGGAATCTTTTTTAGTGGTCTTTATCCTAAAGCTACTTAACTGAGGTCAAAGCGGACAATGAGTAGTTGCAAGCTGTGGTGAAAGTTAATATGCATCCCAAAGTACGTATTGGTTATCAGTACAAAGCGGGAGAGTAAATTGGGCAGTCGGAAGGGTTTTGCCCTGTGGGTGCTTAGAACCTTGGTTAGTGGTGGGCGGTTCCGATGTTGAACGAAAAATAGGACCTGAACTGAGGCCAAATTGGAAGTGATGTGACAAGTTTACTCACAGTTGCTCTCGCCTCACATCTTCTACTTAGTCGACTCCTTTGTGCTTACAACCGAAATCGTCTATCTCAGTGAAACCGCTTGGACCATTGATGATCTTCATTTGTTGATATCTTGGGTTGTCTGTGCTAGAAACGAAGCTTTTAGTCGGTTTCACGGGACGTTCCCTTGCAAGAAACATATTTTGGCGTTGGAGATGGCGCTGAAAAGTTAAATTGAAATGTTACGGGAATTGTGAGTCCCAGAATTTGGGAAATTCGCACCTTTCGTGCTCAACATCTTGAGTGCTTTTACATTAGTCCATTGTTTTAAAGTTACCTTTTCGTTGATATATGTGAAGTGGCTTTTCTTTGAATCTTTTGTGTACCTTTGGATTGTCATCCATTACGTAAAAGGTCTTGGGATAATTGGCAAATTGAATAAGTGATTAGCAGGTACCAGTACGCGCCTAAATCCCGTGTATATTCCCCTTGAAAGAACGGTATTATTATTTATGCATCAGTAGAGTGCTTCTACTAAGAATTATTGTGCTGATGCTAAGTTGGATGCTCCCTTTCTACTCTTCCCTAGCGCAAAGATAGAGAGGGTCAAACCATGAATCGCCTAAGTCGTTTTCAATCACGACTCTTAAGCGCCCTGAAAAAGTCCAAAAACGACTGCGCCGACAACGACAATGGGGACAGTGACGAAGGCAAAACTCAACCTGCTGATCCAACTGCTTGGTAACGCATACACCTTCAAGTCCCGCATGCTTTATTCGTTCCTAGCTTTCGTGTATTTTGTTGCTTGCCAAATTAGCTAATTTTCACATTTAATGCAACTTTCCTATGCTTAGCCCACCAAAGCTTGTGCCCTTTTAGTTTTGGAACCGTTTTTAATTTCATTTATACTTCAGCTGATTTAAGTTTTTTGTGTTTGCTCCTGTGTTTTACGCTATATTATGAATTTGGGATCAGTTTTTGCTGCCATTAAATCTGTAATCTTATGGAGTCAAGTCTTTACTTCGTCTGGTTTCGAATGTCCTGCTTCGGTTTTAATGCGTTGTAATTATTTTCTAGCCATCTAGTTAATTTCACCTGCATAAACTGGATGGATTAGAGCTTCTCTTTTGCCTTTCTTTCCTTGCGTGCAGGTTGTGTTGCAAATTGATATCAGAGGAGCCGACACCAGCTCGAAGAGTCATGGATCCGTCGCTGGAGGATCCAGATCGTCACGATCTCTACGATCCTCGGAATCCCCTAAATTTGCGGAAACGCGGTGCGTTTAGTGATGACAGCGGTGGTGATGGCAGGCGTCATCACAAACGAAGTAGAAAGTGACTCACCCCGTCCTATTTGTACAGCCTTTAAGCTAATGTTGTGTATAAAGATTAGTACGCTGTCTAAGGCAGTTGTGCACTATAGTGCAACAGACGCTCCTGTATGGATTCGTTGGTCCAGGCGTCGATACGGAATTCGTGATTCACTATCCTGGCTGGCTGGGTGTGAGTTATTGTCTAGCTTGACTTCTGCGGCAGTGCTGTGTCCCACTCTCAAATTATGGGTCAATCGTTGATGTTACACCTGAAAAATATGGTCCTTAGCCGTGTAATATCCATGACAATTTAGGTTCAAATTAGGACCTGGAGTTATGAATGAGGACACCTGTAACCTAGTCAGCTCCTCAAAGTCACCTTTCGACAATGCTGAAATTGGGAACGGAATAGAATGAGTTTGTTACTTTTATCGGCGTAGCATCTCAAGTCCTTGTTGGAGTCGTAATAAGCCATGGCAGCACCACAAATGTGCTGAAGAGCTGGGCTGGAGTCTATTGCCTCGCTCGGAAGGCCATGTCTTAGATCTGAAATACAACCTGCAGAGACCAAAGTGCTTACATAATTGAGCATACATTAAGTGAAGTGCTAGGTAATCGCACGGCCCTCCTCTTCTGAACGTCGGCCCTGGTGCTCCCCGTTATCAGTCTTTTGCGTCGATTGCCACGACATTGTTGGTTTTTTAATCACGCACAGGCCAGGGTCGCTACCCATTGCGTTTTTATGCATGCGAAAAGACATTTGATCTTACCATCACGAAGGCACCCGGGCCAATTCTACGGTAACCAGGGCTTCGTCCTATTTGTGAACTGTATTGGAAGAGAAGAAATTGGTTGGCTTTGTACTGCTCAAGACTAGATGGTGGCCTACAACCAAGTAAATTCGTATACCAGTCGCAAAGAGGAAGAGAATAACCCTAGAACCCAGGTCACAGAGATATTATTTGGCTTACATTCCACTTGCCACCGTTTCAGTGATACCAAGACGTCTATCCCGATTCCATTCAGCTAGAAGAGAGGTGGAGGTGGCGCAGCATTTTTCTAACCTTATAAATAACACCATGCAGGTGCGGTAGGCGGTTTCGCATTAGAATAGTACAATTAGCTCAAGTCAGTCAGTCCTTTTTAAGCTTCTTGATACTAGTCTTCACAGACTTATGTAGCGTCCCAAGAATTCCACGAAGACGAAAGAAAACATATTGCGTGAACAGTACATATGTAATATGATAGTGGTTTATCCCTCGGTATTGGTGAGGAGCCACTTTTGTACTTTGAATTAGCCCCCTTGTACCTCGC